CTATTGCTTTGGGCATCGCCCGCCAACCATCTTCGAGTCAAAACAAGTATGGCTTTTCAAGTAGAACTTTGGGAAATTCCAATGTGACTTTCGCCCCACAGCCAAATGAGGATGAGGAAGAAGTGATTAGCTTGACTTGCTCTCTTTGTGGGGAACGTCCAAGTCTAACAAGTGCCCGAACATGCCCGAAGCAAAACCTTTCCCGCGTGTCTTGTTTGGCTTATGCATTCTCCAACATGTACTCTGCACTCTCAACTTGGAATCATTGGAACTCCAAGTCTCCGATCACATTGCACTTGGATGTTCTGGAGGCTCATTTTTCACAGCTGTTGTTTGATGTTCGGATTCTGCAAGTTTCGCCACCTCCGCCAGTGACCGAATAAAAGATGAAGTATTGCATTCAGCTCCCACGAACACATCAATGGCAAGGGTTGTCTATGATCTGCCACCAGACCTGTGCACCAGTTAAATCTTCAGCTTCCGCTGCAGGTTTCGATTGGGGTGCCAGCTGTCCCAACTGGCGGGGGCCTTCCATGTCCATCAGCGAGTCAGACATCTCAGTGGACTGGGGCAGGCAGCGGTGTAGACTCACCTTGGTGGGGTCACTGAGCTGCAGATGAGCCGCGCATGGGGAGATTGATCTGCAAAAGCGTGATTTACCTGAACACATGCATGAAAATGAGGAACATCGGGTTAAACAAACCGGTTTAAGGGGTGGAATACGTGCCAACTTCTGTCAACCAGCAGTTTTACGGCATGATGTTCTACGTTCTTGTACACGTTTTCACCCCACAAAGCTGGGATTGTTTGCCAACTCAGGCTTTTTAGCAACTGCGGCGGTTTGGCAAGCTTGGGGAACAGGAGCTAGAACCAGATCTTACTATATAGCCGCTGTGGTGACGTTTGCTATCCTGCAATTCGGGTGAATTGGGAGTTGGTTGACGGTGTCCAAAAGTTTGGTGCCGGTGCCCCCTGACTTCGACCCATGCCATCGTTTTGGTTGGAGTGTTGCGCTCTCAACCTTCTTTTTTAACTTAAAATCAAGGCTAAAGAAATGGTTCCTTTCATTGGCAAGAACTGCGTCTTTTTGGCCAGTCGGGCTTCAACTCTCATGAGGCAAAGCTTGACACTCTTCGATCTCAACTTCGGCACCACCACGGTGAACTTCCCAGCACCGATTCGCGCCATGGTGGGTGTGGGGAAGAATGTTGAGAGCTGCCTCTCTGGCAATCCATCCGCCACGGATGTCTTCAAATGTGTGGCTGCGGCGATTGGCATCTCGAACTCAATTGGGGGATGGCCAAGAACGGTGCCACTGAGGTCTGAGTGATGCTCAATTTGCGCGGGTGAAAACGAATCACTTGGCAGGTGAAGAGGTGCAATCTTGATTTGTTTAAAGCGTGTATGGGGCGGCAGAGTTCTGACATGTGACAATGACATGTGACGATACATTGGGAGCAAATAGCTTTCTTGTTGCCCTTGAACTTACACTTGGCCAAATCTGTTTAGAACCTTGAATTGGGAAGACCATCTCAAGTGGGGACACAGCATTTGTGAACCGCTCGAATTTTTCGTGCCAACATGTTGTTGTCACCGAGCCATTAGCTCATGCTTTTTGCATTTGTCTTCCGTCCCCGACCGCTTCAATCATTTTCCCAAGAAGTCGTTGCAAGCAAGTTCTGCAGATTAGCCCAGGCAGTGAGTGGATTGCAGATGTCCCAGCCTTCCAGATCCTCTTCGGTTTGGCTGAAGAAGTGTCCAGCTGCTCCGGCAATGCCTTGGCTGCTTGGCGTGAAGGCCTCTGCAAGCTAGCCAGCAACAATTCAATCGACCTTGAAGGTCTGTGGCGCATGTTCTGCGCCTGATCTCTTCCTAAGTCTGCTGAGTTTTGATCACGCCTTCTTGCTGTCAGTAGTTTGTCGTGGTTTTGTTGGTGGTTGTTGCCACGCATGTCCCCTGATTGATGAACACTTGCAGGAAATTTTCACTTGCATCGCTGGGAAGATGGGGGCTGCCATATTGGAGACGGTGTCGCCTTTCAGCATCTGGGCAGCGTGCGGGAGTCAGATTCTTCTGACGGTGTTTCCATCAAAGATCTGGATAGAGATGCCTGAGACAAGACAAACTCTCTGGATGCAAGTCAAACATGAGTGCATCCTCATGATGGGTGGGATTCATGAATAAAGGTGCAACTTGCTCGAATTAATTCAAGGTATCGCTGTCCAAATGAAAAAGGGGATTTGCGGACTTTGGAGGAGAAACTTCTTGGTGCTGCAATACACCTTACATTTTCCGGATTCGTGTAGTGTTTTCTAGAACACTCGCCCACGCAGAAGTTCCTCAAGGGTCGGCCGGCAGGTATCCTAAATTGGTTCGCGAGATTGATGATTTGCCAGGTGTTGTTTTTCCGTGGCGTGAGTATGCGTGTGACATCGTCATCCAGCAAAGTCTCAAATTGTTCCAAAGTCTGTTGTTGGAATTCTGCCAGGTATTTTGATGCAGCTGGGCCCAATGCTCTCCGAGTTCATTGCCTTCTTCGCCGAGTTGGCCAGCGCCTTGATCCACACGCTTCTCTCAGAGAGCACCTCCCTGCTGCAGCAAGCGGTGGAGCAAACCCACTTCCCCAAGCCCGGGGAGAAGCCGTGGCTTGATCCAAAGATGGCAATGCATCTTGAAATGTCTTGAATATGTTTAGTGGTTTGAAGCTGGAAGAAGTCATGGTTATGATTGATGTGTGAATGAAGAACAAAGGGGTGCTGGCGAATAGAAGACGGTGCTGTGGTAACTCCGTAGGGAAGCAAGGTTGCATAGCAGAAGAAGAAGATGAAGTTAGGAGAGGCGCCTGCCTCGTGTCTCAAGTTGAAACCGCCCAATGCATGGCAAAACATCAACGCCGATCATTTTCCGCGCAAGGCTCCAGTTGGCCGGCCCCAAGGGCCTCACCGCGCACGTGCGGCGCCAGAAAACCCGCCCCAGCCGCAGCCTCTTGCAGCGCGAGGCGCGGCAGGCGTCTGGCAAGCCGAGCAATGATGTGGACAACGGCATCGTCGGCTTCGGCACCACGGACAGTGGGTTCTGCGTGCGTTGCATGTGGAGCTGTGGAAATGTGTAATTCCAATCGACAGGTCATCTTTGGTGAAGCCCACTGAGACTTTTTGCAACCTTTGAGGAAGCGCAGCCGTATGCCTCCATGCTCATCACACAATTTGCGGGCGACGAGTTCGACACCGGTTCCTGCTTGGCCTTCGCGCCCAAGCACCGCACGGGCGCAGCGGGCAATGTGACGCAGCGGGATTGGCAAGTGCCCAGCATGGACAGCCCGGATTTTGTGAAGTTGGAACCGTGGGCGGTGCCGTGTGATAACCAGTGGGCCAAAGACAATCCCAGCAAATGGGAAGGTTCCTTGGACGTGGTTTGGTGACTATGGGTCAAATTTAATTCATCTAATTCAAGAGGCCAAAGCGTCCCCTAAAGATGGTTTTTCGTGGTAGATTCTTCGGGGAATGCATTGAGGCTACTCCTTCTACACCTACGAATCCGTCATCGAGAAGTGTGCTGCCATCACCTATTCCATGTCGGCCCAGCCAGTGATTTCCTTTGTGGGTGGCCTGGAGTTCGATTTGCTCCCCGCGCCGCTGATGGAGGTCACCACGGAGGTCTGTTGGCCCGACCGGGTGACGGCACCGGATCTGAGTTTGATCGTCTTTACGGCGCGCACCTGGGCCATGTTGACCATGTTGGGCCTGGGTCGACAGCGCTGAAGCTGGGGAGGCTACGCGTGTAGTTAAGTTTAAATGCAATGTGGAGTCTCCGGAGTTTTCCCATACTGAAGTAAAGGGCCAACAAGGTTTGCTCAATAACCCCTACCCGATATTTTTCCCTGTCTCCTGTAAAAACCCTGCAGCCCGAAGCCTGCCAGAAAAGAGGCTTTCCTTTTTGCTTATTATTTGCTTAGTCTGTCCCTAAACCCGCCAATACTAATTCACTATTGAACCCCTCAAGATTTACCCAAAACTGCGCTTCCCCCAAAATGCATGTGTTTTATTAATTGCTTGTTTAAAATGACAAGGTGTTCAAGCTCGGCACCAAAAATTGGTGTTGCCTTTTAAAATCCTATTGCCCAGAAGGGGTAATCAGGGGTCCTCCAAAAAATATCAGCTTTGGGGATTTGTCCAAACCTTCTCGACCTTGAGCGGGGGGCATAATCTATTCCGCTATTTGTGAATCATTTTTAAGTGGGTAAAGACCCGATGCGATAATTCTTGGAGTTGGATGATTCACACATTGTGGCTTGGGTCGTTTGCATGATGGTGCGGATTTGTTCCTGTGGCAAAGCACATTGGCGAAGTTGGCGTCAAGTGTTTGATCTATCCATCCGTGCTTCTACATGGGGATACCGATGATCCTGCTGGAACATCCACTCTCCAACGTCCCAAGGCAGCGCTGGCATCGTACTCTTCACCCACACCATCCGTTTGCATCGACGCTTCGGCAACAACACCAACTTCACTGACGGCAATTTCAAGGATTCGGTTGAGCGGCCCAGGAACTATTTCGGAAAAGGTGGGGCTGGGGGTGGATAGGGTTGAGCCAGCGGGTGTGACGACAATCCTATGCTGATCACTTTGCCACGGCTGCTACATGCTGCGAAATTGTTGTCCCCGAGTTGGCTCGTGCAATTTATGTTAAAATGTTGAGTTGGGCGGGCGCATGCAGTCTCATCAAGCTGATGTTGAGCTGAACATGCTTCTCTCATGTTGTTTGAAAGCGCTTCAAAGCCTCTAGAGGCAGACTTTGCTCACCCACGAATGCCCACAATGCCTCTCCGTCGCGCTGAATGTCATTCTGTGCGCTCTCTTAGCCACATTCGGGATTCCAATGTGACCTAGAGACCCAAGTGTAGCTGGGACGCATTTGACTGTTCGGGTCGCCGCTGGCTGCTGTTTTGCACACGTTTCTTTCCTATTTTACACCATTTGAGGGCAGGTGGAACATATTTGATTTCTGTGTCCCATGTTAGCCCAGTTTTCAAGCTTATGCAGCCGATGTGGGGGCATGCTGGGCGAATTGCTTCCAGTCCACGTGCGCGCAAAAAATGCCTCCTCACTTTCAGCGCGAGCGAATTTGGTAAGTGCCTTTGTAAGTACGCATTCTAGCACTGGAGGGGAACATATGCGCATTTCATCACGGAAGAATATCCTTGCATTTACTTTCGCAACGCGTTCCGCTGAATGAGTTTTGTTGTCTCCAGGCACTGGAGATGATGACGACAAGGCGCTGCAGGTCCTGTCACGCGCCGCCCTGGCGCAGCTGAATTCTACTGAGACGCCGATGCAGAAGACGGTGTCCACGCCGAAGACACCGGCGCCTGCGTTCAGCGTGACCCAGGAGGAGCTGTTCCTGGCGTCTGCGAAGTACGACCGGAAGATGGGGCTGAACATCACCTCCAGATTTGAAGGCCGGGAAACACAAGGCAAAATGATGGGAAGGATGGGTATCACTGTCTTGTCATTGGCTTGTTCAACGTTTCAAGAAATTGTGGTGCATCGGCTGAGTGGAGGGTTGTTTGACATTGCTGACCATGCTGCAAGGCCAGGCGGCTGTTGAGCGAGTCGAAGCTGTGCTGTCAAAGAAGATGGCTGCCTTGCAGGAGGACTGCAGGGACTGCGCCAAAACCAACCAGGGCTTTGCCTGAAGATTTGTAAATGGTTGATGTGTGTCTGCCGTTAGTTCTAATCAGCGAAGCGATCCAAACGCAGATGACTTGCAGCACCTTGTTGATTGCAGCTCCGGTCCGGGTTGCGTGCGCCTGTCAAACCTCAAAGCCCTGGAGTGGTGAGTAATTTTCGGGTCCGAGATGGTGCTGGTGACTTTGCAGTTCTGGGAAGCCTCGTAAAATCAACCAATCATTTCCCACGAAACCACACCGCTCTTGAATCCACGTCTTCGGAGTTTCAGCCCTCCGCCATGCATTACAATCACTTCGCCAAATCGACATGTTTTTTTCAGCTCAAGAACCAACATGTATTATTATTATTATTATCCCATGGGCCCGCAAGAAAGCCAAAAAGGAGCTCACCGTGAAGTTCCCTGATGAATGGGTTTTGCGAGAAATGATTAGAATATTTGTTTGTTTCCAAGTTTGGGGTGCCGAGGACGCCAACCTGGCGAGCCACGAGCTCTTCGAGTTGTCCAGTCCCTCGGGGTCCCTGGTGGGCTTCAGCGTTAAAGGCGAGTTGGCTGAAGGGATGCTGCCGCCTGACACGGTTGGGGGCAGGGGGGGAGCAGCTGTTGTGATCAGGACTGTTAGTTTGAAGCTCAGGAGTCCTCGAACATCCTGGAATGCATATGTGTTTCCCTCCCAAATTGGCTTCGCTAAGGCAATTGGTGGTGCGCATCAACTTTGGACCTGTGGAATCACCAACAAAAACAATTCCTCTCATTGACCTGGTGGACAATCTGCGCGTGGTTTTGGCGGCCTTGCCCTTCGTGTCACAGGCCAGCAAACAGAAGGCCATTGATGCGATGTCGACCACCCATTTTGATCTGGAGATGCCAGTGAATGAAGCTTGTTGGTGGTTTCATTCATATTTTCCTTTTTGGTTTGAAGATAATACCGATGATGGTTTTCAACATCTTCCTGGGGCCCTGACCTCAAAATCAGGAAGTCTTAGAAACCTTGACCCTGGACACTGGCGCCCAACTGCCCGGCCTTCGTGACGCCATGGTGGTGCGCAAGAATGGCATTTGCAGCGTGCAGGCGGCGCTGGCCCCCAGCAACTGGGGGCAGTTGACCACGTTGCCGCCAGAGTGTCGCCCCAGTGGCCTGGATTCGAAGTTGCGATCTTCATTGAGGGCTCCTGTTCAGACATAGCTATGGGGCATGTCCCACACGTTGTACGCGACTTTACACAGCGAGCAAAGTGCCTAGAGGCGAGTGAATCCACCAAAGATAGTTCAAGCTGCCCATTGATTTGCCAAGGTGGCACCCTCGTCTTCAAAGTGCCAACACAGAGCGCGGTGGCGCAGGTGGATATCACGGGACAGGGAGTCGTCAGTTGCTGGGTAGTTCAAACAGATTCGGAGTTCCATTTGATTTTGTGACCCACGGTAAATAATCGAAAATGTAGGTGCTCATTCACAAATATCAAAGCATGATTCCAAAACTGGATTCCGAGCGGCTCAGCCACGGCCCAGGTTGGATGGAGGGTAGCCAGGATAGCTGGCTCTCCTTGGGCGGCCTTGTGTTTCCTGCGGCAGCGCCGGGTTGGCCGTTGGAGTTAGTGAATGGTTGGAGCAACTTCGGAGGCTTTTCTGAGGCCAAGTACATCTTGGTTGGGTCCCTGTGCTTCCTGGAGGGAGTCATCAAGGAGCGGGCCTTCAAAATGTGTGAAAACATTGGTTTTTTAAATGCGAGGGTTTGGACGAATGATTTGATTTCAGTGTGCTTTTGCTGGTTTTCCTCGCCGCTGAGGGAACCAATTGGAACGCCATGGCCCAGCTGCCAACACACTGCCTGCCCACAAAGAGGCAGATGTTCAACGTCAACGTGCAGGGAGGAAAGAATGCACGGGTGGACGTGTGGCCAGATGGAAAGGCGGGAGAGGTCCATGAAGCTTCGGCGCGTCGCGTTTTGGTTCAGAGTCATGAGCGCCTAAACAGACGCAAGTGAATGTGCGATCCGCTAAAGTCTTTTTTCGGTCGGGCGGGGGGAAAGAATGCGGGGGGAGGGGGGGGGTGGGCGGGGGCGGGGGGGGGGTGGGGGGGGGGGGGAGGGGGGGGGGGGGGATTTTATACAATGAGGAGGAGTTGATCTCCAATCCATTTGTTTCCATCCGAAAACAGAGGCTCGAAAGCCGAGGACTTGAAGTTTCAAGTCCCAGACGATGCCTCTCCGCATCCGTGGATTTTTACATGCTAAAACAGGCGTCTACGCTAAGGGCTTCTTGCGATAGGGATAAAGGCAGGGTGTCGTGCAAATCTGCAAAGCGTGGGCTGGCGCACTCTCTGCGGAAATGTCCAACATTCAAAGCGTGTGCGGACTGAGTATGTCGGACTGCTCTTGCCGCGGGGGCGGCTCAAGCTTCCAACACCAAAGGTGAATAACCCTCAGAGGGCGTTGGGTGTGCCAGGTTGCTCTCGCTGCTGCACGGTGCAAGTTTCCCGCGTGTAAAGTGAGCCCTAGCTCGTCGGATCGCTATCATCGTGCAGCGGTGCAAATTCGCAACATCGAAAGCGAACCCTTTGCAAATCCTCGGTAAACATTCTGGAACAGATCGTGCGACCTTGGTCTGAGTAATGCCTTCCCCCTACTAATAAAGGTACCCCGAATAGTACATATTTGCTTCCAAAGTCCCAAATCCGGGAATACTACTGTTAGAATACCCAATACTAGAAAGAGAAACCAATTCTAAAAGTAGGTATTTTCCTGCCCGTACTCAAATCCAGCCCCATTAGCACGTTTCCTTTTACTACGGCTGTACTACAATGTTGCGACTTTCGAGCCGGAGCTCCGGGAGTACGTTTCCTTTACTATTGCTGGCTGTAATAGGTAATCAACTACGCAGGCTGGCGGTCAAAGTCAAAGGGCGCCTCAAACCAAAAGCTTCAAGGCAAAGGGGGACCTCTGCAAACCTTTTTTTCCTTATAAGGGCCCACATTCGTCAACCTACCGTGCAGGCCTGCTGTAGGCTCCCTCTCTCCTCTCTCTCTCTCTCTCTCTCTCTCTCTCTCTCTCTCTCTCTCTCTCTCTCTCTCTCTCTCTCTCTCTCTCTCTCTTGTCCATGCACATGCGGTGTTGTACTACGTAGCTTGTACATGACTGCAGGCCTTGAGCTTCTTTACTACATCCAGAGCCCATGCAAAATAGGCGCTGTGCAGGCCACAGGTTTGTTTGTGTTAACAACATTACAGCACTTTAAACAACAGTCCGATTTTAACGTGGTAGCGGAGCTGAGATCCTAAACATAGGGCAGCTCCAGTACACAGCAGGAAGTACAACAACAGCTGCAACTGCAATCACATGCCAAACTACTACGACATGTCAGGAGAAGCAGCATCAGAATCAGCACAACAAACTGCAGGAACAGAGAATGGGCCAACAGCAGCAGAAACAGAAGGAGCCATGACTCCGGGAGCAGGACAACACAGGAGCAAGACAACGATGTTCAGAGACTACACAAATACAAACTGCCACCACCTTTCTTCACTGGCGACTACCCCCAGTATGAAGAATGGCTGTTCAAGCTACAAGCACACCTCGGACTCATAGACCGAGACTTCGACCTGGTGCTGCAACTTGCACAAGTAGCTACACGACAAACTGAGGATGCAGACATCAAAGTACACACACACGCGACCCTACACGAGCAAGCAAAGCAGTAGACCTCGCCAGAGATTCACGATACATCCTCATCAATATATGTCAGGGAGCAGCAGCTACAGTAGTAAGGCAAATCGCTGCAACGCAAATGGATGTGAAACACTACGACTCTTGCACAACAGGTTCAGCCTACCAGTAGGAACACGAAGCCAAGCTACTGGAACCTACATTCAATGAAGCGCAGTTTGAAGAGCAATTCCTACAATGGGAATACGACATGAATCGCTACGAGCAAGACAACGGCACAGCACTACCAGACGAAGTAAAGATTGCAATGTGTTAAAACCCTCTAGGCCCCGTGCCGAAATTGGGTAGCAGTTCTGAGGTCCTTGTTGGTGTTGCTTCCCAAGTTCCATTGATCGCCATTTGGCTCAAGACACAATTGAGGTTCAAGATCTGATGTGTGACTGCATACATACGTGATCGGCATTGAGAGCGAAAACACTTCGCTTGCGCTGCATTTGTCAGGACCACTGTTGTAACTAACATTCCTTCTCCCTTACAACGTTTACACGGGTTCGGCTATAACGGCATCGTCCGTATACACCTTTCTACGTGGTTGGTATTGAAGCTTGAGGGTTCGGTGCACAGCGTCCCACGGGACGTCACCTTGCCGTCTCTTGACAGGTTATCAGCCGTAACTACAAGCTCTACACTGGACTGGGAGACAGCTGGTTTATTGCGGGTACAGGGACACTAAAGGAACGATAACCTACACAGTACAATGGCGTCTTCGGCGAGCCCAAGTACTGCAACTTTTGGGAACAGCAGCTCAGAGGGATCCAATGGATTGATGGCTCTTCCTGCGGTGATGGATATGATTGCGGATTCACAGGATGAACCTGGCTGGGAGCGGAGGTTCCGCGCTATTCAGCGACATTTCCACTCCCACAAGATCATGGAAGCAGATCGATGTTCATCAGGAGTCGAAGAAAAGAGAATCCCCACCGAGAAGATCATCATCTTCGCCTGCGACACCGCGGACGTCGCAGAAGGGCGTGAGATCGACATCGAAGGGAGGGGGGTCAAAATCACCCACCAGTGCGGAGTTTCGCGCCGCGATCAAAGAGAAGAATAAGATGGAGGTGGAGATCGGGGAATATCAAAAGACACTTGATGAAATGTCGGCAGCTATGGCGAATCTTCATCAGGAAGATTATGGAAGCACCATCCGGATCCAGGAGCTGGAAAGACGATGCGAGATTGCCAGCAAGCAGTCGGGACATCTAGTGAGTCACCACCAACACCACAGGGCTGAGGCATGGCGCAAGTTTGAGGAAGAAGCCCAACAGATGCGCAAGGTGGAAATGAACGCATTTCAGTACGGGGAGAAGAAAGACATGGAGTCGAATATTATAATGCAACAGATGAGGCAAGCTGAAGGAACTATCATGGAGCAGAAGCGGGAGATTGCATTGATGACATCCTACATGGCAAGCGAGAAGTCGGCCGCGCAGGAATCAGCTATACGTGCAAATCAGATACACCGTGAGGCTTCACAACAGATATCAGTTTATCAGCAACAGATCAGAGGCATAGAATCTTCTACATCTATCGAGAAGTTCAATGAGGAGGAGATGGTCCAAAGTCTGAAATCACAGTTGGAGCACGCACTCATAAAGCGCCCCGAGATGTACTCTTTGGAGGACTCCAGGGAACAGCTGATGACGAGACTGAATGACGTTACAGTATTTGCGGAACAAGAGTCGAAGAGAGCAGATTGCTTGCTTCGCGAAAAGGAAGAGATCGTCAAACAGTATGAATCCGACGTGTCGATGAAGGACCAGATGATTGCTGTCGAAGGTGGTCATCGTCAAGATGCGATCTTGGAGTTAGCCCAGGTCAAAGAAGAGAAACAAGAAGAACGGTGCACGATAGACGAGAAGTCGAAGGAGGCTGAGTACTGGAGATTGACGGCTAAGGGAATGTATGATGAGTACCTCGAGGAGATGCATGAGCTTCAGGGACAACTGAAGGAAAGAGAGGCGGCGCTCAAGCAAGAAGAGAGTTTTGTACGTCAACTCGATGCTGACAACGAGGAACTACGTGCACACAAGAAGCTGGAGACACAGGAAGCCTCCAACAGCAAAGATGGACATCGTGAACGAGCAGTAGTGAAACGCGCTGAGGGAGGAACCCAAGCTAATTCAACTAGGGTAGACAAGAAGGTGGCTGGGTCAGTCCCGTCATCGTCTTCAATTCAGATCCCTAATTCGTCGCTAATGCCAGGTTCGATCCCCTTTCCGTCTTTCGGTGATCCAATGATCGATGTACACCTATCCCAGATGCAAGGAGTTGTCGGACATGTCCCACAATCCACTACTGCGAATGGTGGCGGTGATGGAGGGGGAAACAACGGTACTACGCCCCCATTGGATTACGGTGGATTCCCGCCCAATAGGAAGGGGCAGGGAGCAGGTCGACGTCAGTTGAGCCTCGCTGGTGGCGGAGGAGGACCTCCGGATGATCCACCCGATGATGAGGATGAGGATGACGACGACGAAGGAGATGAAGAAGACGAAGAAGAAGAAGAAGAGGAAGACGACGATCGGACACGGAGGAGACGAAGGAGATCGAGAGATAACCGAGAGATCAAGAATGATCGACCGAGGATCTCGAGGAAGGAGGCCGAGAGAGTATCTATTCCGGCTTGGCCAAAGATCCAGCAACTTGATAGCTGGAAGATGCAACTGCTGATGAATGTTCTGAGCGCATGTGCAGATCCAGATACCGATGCATGGACGAAATGGTTGGAACAGGCTCTTGGGTTGAACCCAGACCTGAATATGCTTAGCGATTCAGGTGGCGACAGATTTGCTACGATAGATATCAAGATGGCCATGGGTATGCAGAACATGCTGAAACAAGCACCTGACGAAGCCAAGGACGTATACCTCGATGCTACACGACACTCTGAACTACGACATCAACAAGGGGTGATCGTGAAGGGACGAGAGTTGGTGGCATTAGTTATGCAATCATTCAGAACTTCCGATAGAACGGATCTTGTCTACCACATCGAGCATCTATTCAACCTTGACATTCCTGGCGACAAGAACTTGGTCATGTTCAGGAACAAATGGTATGATTTGCTGCTGAAGATGAGGAGCGAGGACAGACCCAGTAAGCTGGCTCTCAGAGACATCCTTTACAGGAAGATCAAAGGGAGCAAGAAGATGGAGTTCGGCCTCAATGCCTACCATAGACTACCGGAC